AGGAGACATTTTGATAATAGGAAGACTGAAAATATTCCTCTAAATGATGCATCTGTGAAATGCAAATTCAATCTGCGTGGGTGTTTTGCGTTTGCCCTTGACCAACCTACAAACCATGGTCCTTGGACACGAGTGGCGGTGGGCAAAACAGTTAGTCGTACGGTGACTGAGGTAGAGGTTTGAGGCGGAAATTTGCTAGGCCAACAGCTTGTTCGAATTTCCCATCAACAGGGTGAAATCGTCACCTTTACATTCTGCTAGATAACAACAACCACATGGCAGCCTGATCATGAGAAGAAACTCCAAAGCAAATTCATCTCTAATCAAGAAGTTTTCTTCTTCTACGGAGTAAAACAATGTTCAAGTTTCAAGTTGACCGCAGGAGCTTACACAATTAAAGACGTAGTAGTGTTGAGCTCGATAGATCCCTTATTCAACGGCCCGGTCAATCTACTGAGAGATCACTTTGAGATTTCAAAAAGACTATCCAGGACTGTGATTATTTGATATGTTTTTTCAGTTTGCCATGTCTGTGACTCCACAAAGGATGTTTCTTTGATGCATAAATGTGTGCTTTGTATCACAGTGTTTGCATGAATTCGAAATAATACATTTACTTTGCCAGATCAAGACTTTTTCTGCAGTTAGTTGAGGAAAAAGATTTAAGATGCTTGCTGTCTCGCTGGTTCATTGTGTCGTTCTCGTTTTTCGACCAAGGTACACTCGTGTTAGTTTCTAGCATTTCAGGTGACGAGTGTATCAGAGTACAAATGAAAAGTTTACAAATTGATTTGAAGTAATATGCTTTCTCCTACTTCTTCCAGAGTGCATTTTTAGTTCTTTCATTAAGTTCCTTTGTTGTGTATTGTCTTTTGTCAGTTCAGTATGAATGATTGTCATACAGTTTATTTCACAGTCCACTAACGTTCTGAAGTTCAATATATACTACTCCAGACTAAATTTACAACTTGAAAGCATCTTTGCGGTGTATGGAAATTATTGAACGTCATTTATTATGATGTGACGAGTAACATTTTGTGCTTTCTGATATCGATAATGTAATTGTTTGCATTTTAACAATTACAGTTTTTGATAAACAAAGCTCATTACTTGATGCATCACTACAATCCGGAAAATTTTCCTACAGAGGTCCGTAGATGTGAAAGAATATATGATATTGATTGTTAATACACAAGAGCACGTCAATCAATAATTTCGGTGTGGATGATAATCAGTTTTGATAGGAGCGATCATGTTCATCATTTATTATGAAAAATGTTTAAACTTTCAGTACGTATTGGAATGTGAATAATTTGTAGTCATATAGTTAACACAATTTAAATTGGTTTTCAGTCCGTTTCTGTCGATTTTCTTAGACGCAGCATGTCCAGTAAAACAATAGCTAAGAGCTGTTAACAGTTGTCTCTTCAAGTTATGACAATTATCTTTGTTCATTATCTGTTTGAGTTCTATGTCAATAATTGAAGCGGATGCCTTAATTTTTAAACCGTCCAACATATATATTATATGTCTCGTGGGTGTTAGTTACTATTCTATATTTGTTCTTTAATTCTTTGAAATGCTCACATTCGCTTGATGGATCAAGCCTCAACAAAACTCAAATATTGTTATGATGGTTTTCAGTTTACATTTTTTGACCATTTTTTGTCTACTGATAACTATGACAATTAAAGTTGATGATGTCTTGCAAAAGAAGTAGCCTTTTTATCTCATTTCGTCATGTAAATTTAACTTAAAAACGTTTGATAATTTAAGGTTACCCTTTTTTTAAAAATGAGCTTCAGAAGGATTTGACGTTTTTGCTAATCGCTTCCCTCAAACCCCAAACCTCAATTTCTGAGTGTTGACTTTCAGAACAAATGTGTCGTAAGCCTGTGACTCCATCTTTTTCCACGTTTACGAGCCAACTCTAGTAGGAGTTAAATGGTAGGCTAAATTCTATCACTAAAATCCTAAAACCGAAGTTGAAATTTAAAACCATTCCATTCAAACTTCTTGAACATATGTTACTGCATGTTCAACCGTGTCATGAAGGTCGACTGAAGTACAATGAGACAAATAGCATCTTCTCGAGGTCTGAAAGCAAAGTTGTAATTTAAATGAAAACGGTTAGTCCCAATTATAAATTTTGATAGAACGGTGAGAATATGTAATCAGTTAATCGACGACTCAAGCATACAAGCCTAAGTAAACTGTATATTTGCTTAGGACTTGTTATTCTTTGGAGCTAAATCAACGATACTAAAAATTTGACGTACTTCTGCTCAACTACTTTCATCCATCATGACTATTTTCACAACAAAGTTAGGAATAACTTTGTGCATAATCTTGATAATGCTTTTCGAAATACGCCCAATACAATTAGGGAAAGATTATATTACTCAAAGTATGAACTAAAGTAAACACACGTTTGGGGCATAAGGAGTATATCGTTTTGTTTTTCCGCAACGACATGGTCCGTAAAATTTGTTTTGTCTTAAAGTACTGCAATCAAAGATTCTTAAGTATTGATTTTTATCATGTATTTTCCGCTGTTGAAATGTTTGTAGTAAATTAATTGTCCATTGAACATATTTATATAAACCAGCATATCATATTTCGATCAAATGAACTTACAAACTACTCTTTTTATCAGATAAATACCATTCTATTCAACGTTTTTTTGTCAGAAATATGCAACTGCTTTTGCATTGGTGGATAACTGATAATTTTTAATTCTGTGATCAGCAAAGTGTGAACACAGGTACTACTTAATAATCATAAAACTGAATAAAAAAGTGACTTGTGCGTTGAGTGAAAATTCTATGTTGATTCATAAGATATAAAAAGAAACTTAAATAAATATTCGGATTGAGCATCTCTATTATCTTTACCGAATTATTCACAACAAAACTGATCGTTGTATAACAAACCGGATAACAGAATTACCTCTGTTCGTCAAATCCGTTGAAATAAATAAAAATTTCGACTGAATGAAATAGTTGACATTGTAAAGTCTTCGTTAACTGAACTGCTTATTTCAGAAGTTAAATCACATCACATATTTTCATTTACCGAACTGCAAAGTCGCGCACGGTGGCAGCGCACTAATTTTTTCCTAAAAATGCCTTCAACAGTCGCCGTCGCTAACATTCAAATTTTATGTTTCTCTTGAAGGTTTAATAGAAGTGCATGTTTTGCAGATGACCGCCAGGATGGAGCTGAACAATGACATACATAGGTAATGTCAATGTCGTGCATGATAACTCTGCTGCAGTAAAGATTTACGAATGCGCAAAGTAAATTCACCATTATCACAAATGATGAATTCGGAAACTCGAATGAACTAGTAAAAAAATTGAAATCACAATTGAATATACAATATTCAAAACTAATTATTTAGATGAAGTGAACACCATTGCTCTTTATTGCGTCTTGTAGTGCAATTTCATGCTTCGCAGAGATGAACCTTGAAACACATGAGCTATGTGTCCACCATCACGAAATGGTGTCTATTATAGAAACTGTAATTCGTAGTTACTTCAATAAAAAGACTAATAAGAAACATCATTCAAGATAACTAAAGGAAGAAGTCATGTTACAATAACAAGATAAAGCATATGAATGATAATAAAAATGCAAACCTACACTTTAACTACAAACTAATCGATGTAGAAGGACATGACTGTGAAAATGTGTTGATATTTATTTATTTGTTTATTGTACAGAGCTGAACTAAGGGATAGTCAAAAAACATAATTATCTTAAGCAAGCTGTATTAGTATTTCGACGTAACTGTTCAGAAAACAAATGACTTTAATTTTAAATCCTTCATTACATTTATATATCACAATTATACTCAACACAAATTTTCATGAAATGCATCATCACATTTGTAGTCATACATTGACTCTCACCAGATGTAGGCTTTTAGAACGTTTGTTTTCATTGAAAGGAGGCGTTGAACTGAAGCGAATACAAATAAGTAAGATGGTATCTGCAGAATGTATGCAGATTGAGTTTGATTTACCAGAGTTCACATAACGCATCACTGTCCGTTACACAAAATTGTAAAACGATAAAAAAGTGTAACAAATGTAAATCTCTCTATCATATTCCAGTGTATTGATTTCAAATCTATTTGAATCTTTCAAAATAAAAGTAAACAATTTGACGGTTAAAGAAGATATGGAAGACATATGTACTGGTTCTAAACTACATTTTCTTTTAATACCTCCAGAGTGGAAAAAATCTTGGTTGCTCTTCACTACACTGTGATGATAAGAAAAAGGAAAATATATGTTATGTTTCTAAGATATTTCGTTATCTGTTTTATTCTCTAATTTATAATATGAGCTGAAGTGAAGTAGAAGGTTCTTCATATTTTACGAATCAAAGTATTTTCATGTATTCGTTTCTCTTGTGCACTGTGTATGAAACTGAATTAAGGTTTCCACAGGATATATGAACCGTTATTCAGTCTAAAGTTCAGTGATATCATAATCGTTAGTCAATCAATATATGTCGTCAAGTTATTGGTTTATTCTAGTATATATAAAATAGATTGTATTGAATCTTGGAATCTTGTAATGAATGATGTGAGTAGATTTCATTATCGTTATATCCTTCAAGCTTTGATTTTATTCACGGTTAAATAGCCTTATTCTTTCAGTTCACTGAACTGCATTGACTTTTCGTCCATGGATAAGTTTAAAGATCCATATATTCAAACGTTCATGCACAGAAAATTAGATGGATATTTATAGGTTGGTAATATAGACAGATGAATGAGTAAAAGTATTGGGCAGTCTTTTATTGATGAATTTTCACAGACTATTTTATTGACCAATGTTGAACTCCCTTCTTGGTTATGCAAAAATGTACTTTGGTGTATACTTTCTGCCATAAACTTGACTTGGAGAGTAGTAGTCGAAGAATTGTTCAAATTTCTGTATATTCTATATAATTACATACTGCTTCTTGCTGTTTCTAGCAACTTCTCAACTCCTGGCAAATGCAGTTCAACTTGGAGTTATTAACACCACATTATCTGAATATTTCGACCATGATAACAAATGCATTCAATCCAGTGCCAGAAGCAAATGACAATATCGCAAGTTGCGATTCACCCCCATGTATGTAAGTAATCGAAGTTGTCCAGCAATTCACCGTCGACGAACCAGAATTACTTTAGAGTATTGGAAGAAACCTGCTCGAATATACGGTCTCATATTATTGTAAGTCATAAAACCCGTTATTAGTGATATTAATATATTTTAACTATTCACCTAAAATCATTTTTTCATCACTACAATATTAGTTATGATAGATTCGAATTTCAATTTTTCAACAAAGTTATGTTGAATGATCGTGGAAAAAAGTGCATTCATCTGAAATGGTCCTGTTCCTGCAAGGAACAAATGATGATTTCTTTGACAATTACACATCGACTGTTCTCATTTTCGTCCCGTTCGCTTTTTTTACTAATTATGCACATGTAATTCTTTCTCGTTCAGTATACTGTTTATTTAAGGCTGATATACTTTATGAAACATTTGATGTATCCTAATAAACTCAATGTACACTCAGTTCCTGTTCTTGTACACTTCGTTTACACGTTTTAGTTTGGTAGCGCTACTGTTCACAATCATCGTTATTCTCAACAAAGCCCTTCACTCCGCATCTACAAGGAACAACATCTTCATTATTTTGACGGTTAGTAGACCATGATCTTTATCATCATGTGTATTTTCAGGTAGTTTTTTTGTATGTGTAATTAGAAATAATTTTGATTATTTACATTTAATTTTATTACATTTAATTTCTTTTACGCTTCTTTCGATAAGCAACTGTTGAGAAATAAACAACTTATAAAAAATGCTCAAGTTTTTATCCACATAAGTATACAGTGCTATTTATTAGCGTTTGAGAATGTCAATTAATCAGTAATTATAGTAATCAGGTATAATAATGAATCGGATGATGGAAGAATGGTATGATGAGTAAAGAGTGAAGAATAATTGTGCGTCATGTATGACTGTATGAACATATAGATGAAGCTTCGTTTAAAAAACCGCTATTTTTTTACTTCCGAAACTTCTGATGTTGAGAAGCTTTTAACTGACACACTTTCACTTATTTTGATTTGCGGATGCTACTGTACTCTTGGTTCATCTTCAGTTTTGTTGTAAGCAGAGAGTGATTCAATTCTGATTTTTCAAAACGAAGATGTGTGTAGCTAATAACTTCATTTATGCTAACGTTGATTTTAAACTTTCAATATGTTATGTTTACCTCAATAATTGTCACATCTCATAATAACTTATTCTCTGGATTTGCGAATTTGTCTGCGAGATGTCTTGTAGTTGAAAAAAAGCGCGGTTAGACAATTAGACTGTTAACCGTCGAGCATTATGTTTGAGATAAACCCATCAACAGTCATTATTCAGTAAATTTTATTTATGTCAACTGAATTAACCATTTCGTTACCATAAACTAACATATCACATGGTTACTTTTTAGTTGATCGTTTGGATAATCTGTGTCGGATTACTCAGCCCACCTGGTGATTGGAAAGATTTCCTTATCGCTGCTAATGTGGCGTCCATATTTATGATTCTCGCTCTTCTATTGGGGGTTAAACTGATAGATTCCGAACGAAAATGGAGAATAGTATTATTTTCTTTTTGTTGTTTATTTATGGCAGCTGGAGTCGCATTCTCTTTTCTAACCGTACTTCGCTATATATCAAAACACGTAAGTTGATCAGAAGAAATCAATTCTATATACCATCATTGATTGAAAATAAGATTTGCCTTTGAAATAATTTATGATTGATTATTCAAACAAATTAATTTTTTTCGAAGCATAATTGGGAACTTTATCATGCAGAAATTTTGGGAAAACAGCAATCAAGTATCTGTATATTTCTAACAAAAACATTCTTATTCATATACGGTCAAGAAATCATAAATTTCGAGACAAAGCAGCTGCTTACTGATTGAACGTTTAAAAAGAAGGTAACAAAGTCCTGATATACATTATGATTACAGTATTCATCAAGGTTATTACATGCAAATGATAACTAGCTCTCATGACAGTGGACTGAAGTTGCATGTCATTCATATTTTGAAGAGCACTCAGTAGATTTGCGGATGTATAATGTTTAGGGAGATCGAACCAAATATTTACAAATGATTAATTTTTGGCTTTTATTCTAGCTAACATTTGAAGTTCTGTCGTTGATGTCTTGGTGCGATGCAGTGTTTAATGTAAGTTTTGGATGAGCAATTGTATTTGCTTATAATTAAATGTCAATGTGGATCACGCATTATCACATATATTACTAAAGACATAAACTAAACTTTTGAAGTTTTATTCAACAATGAATGTTTTTCTTTTTGTTCTAGATAGCATTTGCAGTTTTGTCGGTAATTTCTTGGTTTGGCGCAATTTTTATCGTAAGTTTCTGATTTCCAATAGATTTCACAGATAAATGACTGTTTGTTTATATTGAGCATTTCACATGTCCTTCAAA